CCTGACCCAAGCCGTGGTATTTCTAATTGCCTCATATACATGGGAAAGTTGGACACTGACTAGATAAGATCAAAGACAAATCAATGCATCTGAATTGTAGCGCTGGAAAAGCATATTGGAAGTACCAGGGACCGTCAATAAAAGGAAGAAGTACAGACAGAGTGCTCCTTAGAGCCAAGATGATGAGGCTTCATCTTAAATATCTTGGATGTGGTGTCATGAGAGACCATTCCCTAGAGGACATCATGCTTGGTAAAGTAGAGGATCAGCGAAATAGAGGCAGTCCTTCAAGGACATGAACTGACACAGTGGCTGCCACAACAGGCTCAAGCACAGGAACAACTGTGGGTCCGGCGCAGGACAGGGCAGTATTTCAATCTATGCGCATAGCGTCACTATGGGTCAGGACCAACTGGATGCACCATTGCTTCTCCTTTATAAACTTGGTAGAGGTGCCCCAAATTTGACTCTACATTTTGAGAAGCCAGCAGAATTAAATTTATGAGTAACGTTGAGGCATAGTTAATGAGGTCAGTAGTTCAAACCCACCAGGGGATTGATGCGGCAGTCTGCTTCTGTAAAGGCCCTTATTACTGTTGTTAGGTGTTGTCCTGTTGACTGTGACCCACAGCAATCCTATGTGCACAGAATGAAAGACTGCTCAGTCCTACGTCACGTATGTGTCATTGTTGTAGCCGCTGTTGCAGTCTGCATTGTTGAAGGCTGTTCTCCTGGTCACTCACCCTCTGAGCATGATGTCTTCCTTCAGGGACTGGCCTCTCCTGATTGCATGTCCAAAGTAAACGAGACAAACTTGCCCTCTTCACTTCCAAGGAGAATTACAGAAAACTCTATAGGACAGTTCTACTGTGTCCTACAGGGTCACCATGAGGTGGAATGGGCTCAATGACACAGAAAAACATAGGGGTACCAAAGATTACACAACCAAACAACAAAAATGTTTTCTTGGTGTCTTGACTTTTAGGCCTGTGCCTGGGGTTTTCTGGGGTGTTAATTCAGAAGACTGTATTGGCTAGACCACATCAGCTCCAGTTTCCTAGATATAGTATTCCACTATATGTTCAGTGATTAAGTTAAATTAATTTAGTAATTGGCCATCCTGATTTTAAACTTAAGAAACATTTAGACCCACAAATTACAGGATAGGACAACAATGGTAAGAAATAATTGAAAAAGAATGAAGGTATTAAGGGACTTTCTAGGGAAGCTGTATCTGGACCCATAGTATCTAGTTGGTTATGCATTTAGCTGCCAATCATAAAGTCATTGGTTCAAATCAACCAGTCACTGCACAACCTTTGAAAGATGTAAAGGGTTGGAAACCGGAAAGGGCAGTTCCTCCCGGTCCTATGGGGCCCCTATGAGTTTGCATTGATCAGCTAGCAGCAGCTTTTTCTCTCTGGTCTGGGAGACTGCAATGTAGCCCAAGACTACGAGTTGGATCCTGCAAAGACAGAACGCAGCTTGAGAAGACAGGAAAGTATAGAAGAACATTGAAAAGACACATGTAAGGAAGGCACGAGGGCAATTTAGAGTGTCAAAAATATAAGACTTTGTTTACGATGGCAATTTTCATAAATATTTTGAAGATCTAAATTTTCTTCTAAAAATTATGCAGTAAATATTTTCAAATACATTTTAATATACAGAAGTCATGGATAATTCATGTTACATATTTCAAAAGGGAGGTTGACTCTTTTTAAGAAAAATTCGAACTTTTAAGAGTTTCTATGTACAGGTGGCGAAGTAGTACCATCTTATAACACAGCAGTTCTCAACCTGTGAGTCGTGACCCCTTTGGGGGTTGAAAGACCCTTTCACAGGGGTCACCCAATTCATAACAGTAGCAAAATGACAGTTATGCATTAGCAACAAAAATGATTTTGGGAGGGGTCACCACAACATGAGGAACTGTATTACAGGGTCGTGGCACGAGGAAGGTTGAGAACCACTGTTATAACAAGACTGAAACATTTTCTTTTTAATGAAGGAGTTAGAACTCTGATAGACCCATTTTGGGTTTTGGAACATTTTATTCTCTGTTTATTATATCGAACTCACTACCAGTCAATCAATTATGACTCATAGCAACCTGTAGGGCAGAGTGGCCCGACTGTGGGTTTCTGAGGCTGTCGATCTTCATGGGAGCAGAACGTCTCTTGCTTCTCTTGCAGCGCTCCTGGTGGGCTGGACTGGCTGACCTTGGAGTTAGCAGTCACACACATAGCCCACTGTATCGTCGGGGCTCCCGATTCGTCACTGCCATCAAGTCCACTCCAACTCATAGCCACTCAGTAAGACAGGACAGAATTGTCCTGTGGTTTCCAAGAGGGTAACCCCTTACGGGAGTAGAAAACCTCTCCTTTTAAGTAGCAGCTTATTTGTAGCCCCATCACGAATCATATGAAGGGTAGTGTATGACATATGTTCTGGATCTCAAAACTAGAGCTGACAGTGAAAAACGGATGCCTCTTCTGTGCAAGTCAAATACACGAGTCTAATATTTGCTGCTCCCAAATGTGTGTTGGCTGGTGCTGTTTATTGAGGAAATGCTTGTTTATTATGAGAATACTGTATTTTCTATTTAACAAGTTTCTTGTAGCGATGATCTGTTCCTTCTGAGAACAGTGTGTGGATGAACACAGCTACATCCCTGCTTGACACTGCGCCATGATTCCCTGTCTAGCGAAGGACAGAAGGGGGCCGAGGGGAAGAGTATCAGAGGTCCATGCGCTCCTGCTTCCATTTGTCCTGTTTCTGCTCTTCCCTCACAGTATTTCCGAGGAGGAAGTCTCTGTCAGAGCCACCAGACTTACTGCCTGAATTACACAGCAGCTGTCTTTTATCTTGAGAGCCTGAGGCAGAGAGATGACTTTGGAATATATTTAAAAGTAAAGTACCATCTTCTTTGATATTCTTACTGACACTCTTTGGGATTAACAGGTAAGGACCCCTGGTGACACTCTGGGTTAAATGCTGGGCTGCTCACCTCAAAGTCAGCAGTTCAAGCTCTTCAGCTGCTCCCTGGGAGAAAGATGAGGCTAACTACGCCTGTCAAGACTGACAGTTCTGGGCAGCCATCTAAGTAAGGCATCAACTAAGTTCACATGGCAGAAGCACACCGTCCTGTGTGATCTAAGGATTGTAAATAATGTAATCCAAATCCAAAGGAGAGAATGGTATTAGAGCTTAAATTATGAGTACTCAGTTTGCACCAGGCTATGCATGCCAGCGGAAGCCCAAAATCTATTTGCAGACTCCCCATGTGGATTAAGCTTCTGGTGAATCCCGCTCTGACCATAGGCCAGGGATATGAATAACTTTGCCATCAAAGAGAGAATATAGTATAGTCAATTAGGGCAGCTGTAGTTCAGTTAAAATGTAACACCTTATCATTTGATCTCCTTTTGAGTCATGTTAAAGCTGTTTTAATTTTTAATATTTTCTCCTTTCTTTTGATTGAGGTTTTCTGTTTTGTCTAGTTATTGTTGTTGGATTTTTTGGCTCACTTTCTGCTTTGTATGATTTCCTGTATATGAAATGCAGGATAGGTAAATTTATAGAGACAGTAACTGGATTAATAATTACCCACGGCCATGGTAAGGGGAAACTAACAATAATGAGAGTGAGAAGAAAATGTTCTCCAATTGATTGTGGTGATGACTGCCCAACTCTTCTGGAAATGAATGAACAATTAAATCATATGGTATGTTAATTATATGCCAATAAAACTATTCTTAAAGAACCCTGGAAATTCTATATAGAGTTGCCTTGAATTGGAATTGACTAGATGGCAATAGATTTGTTTGGGATTGGGAACTATTATATGCAAATTAAATAGGGAAAAAATAAGTTATCAGCAATAAAAAATTCAGGGTTTTCCCTATAAAAATACATGACCTATTACATACTTAGGAATTTTAAATGATGCCCACCTGGTAACACTGTATTTACCCAACATTGTTGTTGGGTGCCAATGAGCTTCTCACATCTCTTCATGACCCCATGCAATAGAACCGAACTGCCCCATGGTGTTTTCTTGGCTCCCCAATCTTGACAGTGGTAGACAGATCACCAGAGCTGCTGAATGGACTTGAACTGCTAGCCTTTCAGTGACCAGCTGAATGCTTGACAACTGTGTCTTCAAGGCTCCTCATATTCCCATGACCCCCTTCCCTGAAATTTTAATCAAGGCTTAAACATGTTTTATTTCCTTTGATTACTGTGGAAATTTTAAGGAGACAACTACAGTGATAACTCAAGTCTTAATTGTGACAAGAGGTTTGGCCTGGTAGCATTTGCTCCCAGCAACGCCCTGTCACAAACTGACCTTGGATTCTAAATGAATGAGCCCCCTGTCGTACATCATAGAACACAATGGCAGCGGGGCCCCTGGAGTTGTGCAACATGGTGCCTCCAGATCCCCAAACCTTAGAATAAATAGTTTCTACTAAGGGCTTCAGAGAAGCTGGATTCTGTGACGAAGAATGTGGCATAGGGAATGGAGGAAGGTTTATTAACCTTTGCTATGAGGATGATACCACCTTGCTTGCTGAAAATGAGGAGAAATTGAAGCACTTGGTGATTTAGATAAAGGATAGTAGCTTTCAGTATGGCTTACAACTCATAACTGTTAAGACCCAAATCCTCACAACTGAACCAATAGGTAACATCATGATAAACAAAGAGAAGGTTGAAGGTGTCAAGGATTTTGTCTTGGATCCACAATCAACGCTCATGGAAGCAGCAGTCAAGAGATCAAAAGACAAGTTGTGTCAGTAAAATCTGCTGCACAAGACCTCTTTAGAGTATTGGAGAGCAACAATGTGACTTTGAGGACTAAGGTGTGCCTGACCCAAGCCATGGTATTCTCCATTGCATCATCTGCATGTGAAAGTTGGTCACTGAATAAAGAACACTGTAGCAGAATTGAGGCATTTGAATTGTGGTGTTGGTAAAGGCTATTGAAAGTACTATGGACTGCTAAAAGGATAAACTGATCAGTACTGGAAGAAGTAAGGTCATAGTGCCCCTTAGAGGCAAGGATGACAAGACTTCATCTTACATATTTTGGATATTTGACATACTGTCAGGAGAGACCAGTCCCTGGAGAAGGATATCATGATTGATAAAGTGAAAGGGCAGCAAAAAACAAGAAGACCCTCAATGAGATGGATCGATTGATACAGTGGCTGCATCAATGGTCTCAGGCATGAGAACAATTGTGAGGCTGAAACAGGACCATACAGTGTTTGGTTCTGTGGTTCTGCTGTGCGTAAGGTTGCTATGGGTCAGAGCTGACTCCATGGCACCCAACAACAACCACAAGGCTCAGGGTGATTAGCATGGGTTAATAGTCAGGTGGAGAGTCAACTTTCCTTGAATTCCCAGCTCCTTGGACACCTGCCATCACTTTCTCCTCCACCCCCTTTTTTTAAAGCACAAGCTGTGATGCTAAAGTATGAGAATAGTTTTCTTATAGTCCAGGGGAGATGGTCCAAGTCTTCCAGAGAGCCAGCATCTTCAAGAAGTCCCTTTCAGAGCATCTCCCCAGAGGCTTAGGGTGGAATGCTTCAGCAGCTCCCAAGTGACCATGAAACTGAGGGATGTTACCATGACCTGGGTGGACCAGAAGCCAAGGAGTGGTGTGGGGGAGAAGGGAGCGACCATCTTTAAAAAGAGGCTTGCTCTTATTTTTTTTGTAGCTAAAACTCTTCAATTTCTTTGCTACTTAAAACTGAAGACTGGCTAGATATCCTAACACATGGCTACTCATCTTAAAAAATGTTTCCTGGAAAGATGGTAGTTTAGACTTCTAGCTAAGTCCCCAACCTGAATGGAATCAAAGCCTATTTCTCTCCCTCCCAACTGGTTCTACTCAGTGCCGTCAGGTCAATTCTAACTCATTTCTAACTCCCCATCCACAGGGTTGTCCCATTTGGGTTTTTCTGGGCTGCGGTTTTTACCAGATACAGATCAACAGGTCTTTCGCCCACAGAGCTGCTGGGTGAATTTGAACCATCAACCTTTCAGGCAACTACTGAGTGCTTAAGTGTTGTTCAATGAAGGTTCCTGCTGAGGCAGGACGAGAGATTAATTTAATATGGTTTAGCCACCATTTTCAAATAATTACTTAAAATCCTACATCATTTATGAGCTAGAAGGGCAGTTTACATTTACAAGCATACATTTACATCTATATAGTCTGCAGAGATAAAGGGAGCAGATGGTGCAATGCTATAACACTACAAGACACTTCTATCATACTTAATGCTTTAACAAGAACTCTCAAACATTTTATGTAGCCTTTAACATGTTTCTGTGAACTTAAGTTCATTGACCTCATGTATCCCCAAGGCTCAAAAAGGTTATGTGACTTTTTCAAAGTTACACAGCCAGTAAATGACACAGAAAGATCCTAGATATATGTCTTTGGGCAAAAAGTCCAATTTTCCTTACCACAAAACTGTTTTTCTGACTCCTCTGAGCTATTTTCCATTTTCAGGAAATAGTTTTCACAAAACATGCATTGGAGGTCTGGGAGAGACTTTGGTGGGGGTAAAAGTTGAAAGGACACCTGTCTGCCATATCCCCATTCTATGAAAAGCATTATCACAGATAATAAAGGAATAAAGGCAACCTGTTCCTAAGTCTCTGCTCATCCCTTTGTCTATACTGCAGAGAGAAATGCCATTATCCTCATGTGTTGGACAGGGTTCTCTAGAGAAATAAAATCAGATTGCTGATAATTTTATATATATAAAGATAGATATATATATAGCACAAG